AAAAAAAAGTCATGAAAATAAAAGAGAAAACAACATAAAATATCCATATAAATATATATATATATATTATATAATTATGTAAGTGCGCAAGGTTAAAGTTTAAAAGCATTATTGTGTTTTTTCTTTTACTCTTGTTGTTATTAATATTTCTTACATAATATTTTAAAGAAATTTTGAAAAAGTATATGCGCCCTATGGTGGTAGGTAATAAGCATTTCTTCTTCATGGCACCGCTTACACGATTATAGTTGAGTTAACAATGGCAAAGCAACTCAATCCTTCTTTCCCTATTTGTGCGGCTATTGGAAATACCAAGTGAAACCAGATCGCTCTTCGCCTGATCCCTCCAACGGAGTGGAGGTCTTCTTCCTCTACTCCTTCCACCGCCTGGTACTGTATCGAAAGTTTCAAAACTGGTGTATTCTTATCCATCCGCACCTACCCAGCATATTAAATGTCTTTGATTTGCTGAGCTAAATAATCTTCGGCGTATAACTCGTTCAACTCGTCATTCAATCGGCTGCGGTATACGACGTTCTCAACTCGAAGAAAACCATCAATCAGACGCAAAACCTTTCGCTTAAAAACCGCAAGAGCCAGGTCTTCGTATGTAGTTATCGTTCATGGCTCCGCACCATATAGCAAGACAGACACAATGTCTTTGTTCGTCGTGAAAGTAAAGTCCTTTTAGTTGCCCACTCATTCCAAAGTTGGCAACAGTCATTCTGCATTGGATTTCCAGGCTGACATTGCTGTTGGGGTTAATTTCGGTTCCAATATAGAAGAAGTTATCTATGAGTTCAAAGTTATGACTGTCAAAAGTGACGTGGGAGTCGAGTCGCGAATGCCATGACTGTTTGTTTCATGACAGGAGATATTTCGTTTTGCTTTCGTTCACTACCAGCCCCCAATCATTCTTTTCCTTATCCAGCCTGTAGAAAGCAGAACTCACGGTGCGGTTTTTGAGGCCAATAATGTCAATATTATCTTCGTACCCCAGCAGCTGTACACTCTTATAGAAGATTTGTACCTTATCTGCTCAGCTCTGCAGCTCTTATTATTTTCTCCAGCTTCAAATTCGATAAATCGCACGATTAAGTGTCTAAAAACTCGTTTGGTACCGAACGACGGAGAGGTCCTTCCCATATCTGACTGCGCTTCGGGCAATAACCAGCGCTAGATGATCGTTCGTTTATTAGGCTTAAAGCCACACTGATAAAGTCCAAGCGGTTTGCTGGCGTTGGGCTATAGTATGATACACTCGATAGGGTCTTATATGCGATATTCAGAAGGCTTGTCCTGTGGTGATTGATGAAAACTGTGGGATCGCCCTTAGTTTGGACTGGGCAGAGCACACTTAGGTTGCAATCGTCGCGCAAGCCTTCACCCGACCGTGTTTTGCAAAGAAACTGCTGCATGCACCCTGTCGGCACTTTATTTGAATAGGTCGACCGGCAATCCATTTTCCCCCGACGAGCGAATGCTATTTGTAGTTGGACAATGAAATATCTGTTCCAATGACATCGCTTGTGCAATCATTTTCACCATCTACTGGCGTTCCAAATTCACTGCCATACGACAGGCAGGAAAAGTATTTCGTCTGAAAGGTCACTATGCTCTGCACTGCACTAAGACTTTCTGTAACTTGCTGCATCTATTCATAGAATTTTCGAACGTTAGACTTGGAATTATCATAAATATGACATGCTCATGCCAAGTTTTGAGCTGTAAGAATTAATATTTATTAATAAATAAAATACAACAAATTTGATATGGATTGAAAGATTAAAGCTTTTGGCGTGGCACTGCTTTCTTGGTTTTAATGATACCCATTTCTCTTGAGTCCCACCGTATATCACACCAAACGCTTCAATATAACTACTTATCTTATGCCATTGTACTCATATTGTACTTAAAAAAACTGACCTATCATTGGGATGGCTAGTGTTTATAAAACCGTTAAAAGATAAATTCAGTTGTCAAAGTTATTTACCTTGGCTTTCAACTCAATAACCGTCATATTATCATGTCTATTGTTACCGGTAAATCTGTGTCGCTCTGGTGATTAATGAAGACAGCGAGCATACAAAATGATCAAGATACACACTCGTTATCAATGAAAGTGAAACCGAACGGGAAAAGGAAACTAACAAAAAAAAAACGCCTTCAGTAGACAAACGTGCTTCTTCGAACTCTCGAACTACTTATTATATTGGCTTAAGAAAAATGCTGCTTAGAATTGAGAGCTCTTTTTGGAATGCTTTAATATTAGCAAAATAATTTTTGAAACCAGTAAAGTAGTCGAAAGCTACTTTCTGTCTGTGTTGGGTAGCCCAGAAAATATCCATATGTAGACAAGCTAAAGTGAGAAGGCAAAATCTCTTGCTGCTGTGCATAAGATTTGGTATCCACCACATGAAAACTAAATTTCAATAAAAAAAAAACACTATAAGCCTCGGATGAGCGACGACCCTGCCTGATAATAACCGCCCCACACGTTTCAAGGATGAACTTTCCAACCCATTGCTGATTTGCATCTATGCTCCGATGGAAGAGAGGGATGATGTGACCAAGAATGCCTTTTGTTAGCGCGTAAAGCATACTTATAAATGCTTACACCGACGCTATGAGAAAACTTTCCTTGGTGGCTTTAACGCCAGAGAAGACATCTTTGGCACAGTTATTGAAAAATTGGTAAAGTCACGGTGAAACATCCCAAATGCGTTGAGGCTGATCAGCTTCACTGGGACCCGAAATATGGTAGTATGTAGTACCAAATGCTATGACAAGAAAATTTATCAAACTTAGCTGGTTGCCATCAGATGGAATAACTCACAACCAGATTGCACCTTTTGTGATGACCTGTTGTGACAGGCAGCATGTCTCCAGCGCTGTAGTTGTGCGCACATTCTATGGACTACATTTCGACTCGGATCGTTATCTTGTCGCAGCGAAGTCAACAAACACAAGAAAGGTTCGACGTTGATAGGCTCCAATCAAAAACAGACAACCAGTCGTGCTTCACCTGATGGTCCCAACGGAAGGAAGATTCTTTGCTTCCACCGGTGTAGTTGCTTTTTCTTAATTCGCAAAACTTTTCTCTCCAAAATTATTAACGATGTTGTCATCGTTCATAAGTCCGCATCATGTTATATGTGTATTAGGACGGGAATGATGTGTATTTGTTTCGTCGTGAGAGGATTTTGCTTTTCCACTATCTACTCATCACCTTTCACTATACTGATTACCTTCAATCAGTTCCTTACAGAAAATAAGGATACGGAAAAGGAGATTTAGGCTTCAATCGTCGGTAGTCCTGTTGCATGCGCCTCATCAGTTCTTCGTCGCTTATTTGAATATTTCACGTAGTAAGCCATCGATTCTTTCGTTCCTTCCTGGATTCCTACAAGACACCGGAATATAGTATTCAAACCTTTTGCCAAGTCAGTTGGTTGGTCAGTTTAGCAAGTTCAGTAATGTTCATACTAATGACGAATCTTGGTTCTTGAAGTAAGATCCAGAAAGCAAATAGCAGTCCATGGTATGGAGCCCACCTGGAGCAAACCTACACCTAAAATCTAAGCAACAGAAATCAGCAGCAAAAGTTATGATGTCAGTTTACTTCACCTGAACTAAAAACGTAGCTGATATTCCACTGGGAAAGGGTCAGACGGCAACTGCAAAATGGTACACCGAAGAGCGCTTTCAAAAATTGGTTGGAAAACAGGAAGAAAGAGAATTTGGGGCTTTACTTTTTACATCATGACAACGCGCCATCCCACACCGCTGAAATAACGCGTAATATTGTTGCGATCTCTGGGATCGAAAAAATACGCCAAGCACCATATTCCGCAGATATATCACCCTGAGATTGCTGATTATTTGCAAAAATGAAAAAAAAAATTTAAAAGAAGAGGTAAAAGATAATTAATGCTGTTAATGCTGAACTTGATAAGCTCAAAAAGCAAGATTTCGAAGATTGTTTCCAGTAGTGGATATATGGGCTTAAGAAATGCATTGAAATTCAATGGCGATTATGTGGAGGAGGTAAAATGGGCAAAGATTACGAATAAATATAAAAATAATTTTTTTCTGGTAACTCTTGTTAATCCCCTCATATATACCCAAAGGTGGTCGAATATTACCTGAAACAGATCAGAGGTTTCAAAAATTCTCGGGGCGGCCATTTGAATGTTGTAGTATTACACATAAATATAATGCCAAGAGTTATAAGAAACAGGGAATTTTTCATGAAAAAAATCCTATTTTGTATTCATTTTATTTACGTCCATTTTCGAAACCGAAAAATGCATAATCCTGTAAATTTTTTAATAATTATAAATTTATTAGACTTACTGTATATTTAACCCATGAACTTTGGTTTATCTCATCAGCAAAGTGCGAGGGTTAAATTTACAGTAAATTGGTATTCTAAAACAGTTGTGTTGCGGAGACAAAAAACAGATATGCAAAAAATTTATTAAGTATACGAGGAGTGTATAAATTATGTTGTTATACTGTTGTTGAATATTCAGTTTGTAAGCCAAGGTCATGGGTTGAAAAATGAATTAATGCCATCAATTGTAATAAAAAAAATGGTTACGTCCATGTAAAAATGGAGAAAAATTTTGAATAGTCCAAAAACTTAGAGTCTGAGGAAATTGAAAATTAGCGTTACTTTTTGAGCACACCTCGTATGTTTACTTTAATCATACACTTATTAAAAAAAAAGTACTTTCCCTTACCTAACCGCACATGCTTGTGCTTGTTTGGTTCACGATTAGTTTTTAAAAATAATTTTATAAAAATAATTCTTCTCTTTCGCCTTTTTGGAAAACCTTGTATCTGCATTATACGTGTACTATGTATGTACGTAGGCCATAAACGATACGATAATAAGTGTACAATCATTGATAAGCCCAACTAAGCGTCGTGCCTGTTCGATATTTGTTTGGTATTTCCATTTATTACTTGCATCGCCCAATTCACTTCAGTTCTAATTTGTTAACGCAGTGTAGTGTACACGCTTCGTCTTTTCGATTAACGGTTTGCTATTCGAAATAGTTTAATTAATTGATTTTCGTGTGTAATTCGTGTGAAATTGAATAATGATATTTTGGGCAGATCGACCACAAACGATTGCCGTCATACCCGGTGAGGAGTCTAAGGAAAAAATCGCATGCGATTTGTTAAAAAATCGTACTGTTGCTTCCTCTTGCCAGTTCTAATTCCAGTAAAAATTAGTGTGAAATCCATAAATCCAGCTAAATTGAGTGAAGCTGGCAAAATTTTGTGAACATTAGGGTTTTCCAAGGCGAATGGAATGCTTTTTATTCTTATCATTGCCGATTGCACTCAGTCACGTCCAGCATTAGTCACTGGGAATTAATTTATTTATTTTTTGTTACGCTGATTATCTTACAATTAAAATACCAGCGATTATGCGAACCCAACAACTGGAAATGAATTAAATTGATGTGAAACCAAATATTATGCTGAAGAACTTTTTTTCATGTTTGACACATCCAATATTGATCTAATAATTATAAACGATTGTTCTCTTCATTTCTGGCATAGACATCGCTTACGCGTTTATAGCCGAGTTAACAACAGTGTGCCAATCGTTTCTTCTTTGCGCTCTTCGCCAGCAAATAACAGCCAAGTTCTTCTCCACCATATTTTTTCTCTCTCCTCTACCGCCAACCGTAGCTACTGTATTGAGTTTTTTCAAAGCTGGTGTCTTCTCATTCACCCGGCTCATATGTCAGTCTGATAGGCTAGTCAGCATAGCGGCTGTTCCTTAAGGCACTGAACCATGTTCTACGGATCTAACCTACCACCTGTTGGCAAGAGTTATTCTGTGTTGAATTTCAAGGCTGACATAGTACACTCTTATTGATATATATGCCTTCTCTCCAACTGGTATAATATTCTCCAGCCATACATAATGTTTGGTTAGGTTGTAGTGGTTAGCGATTTATCGAGTCGGATACACGTAGGCCTGACAAAAGCCCATTGTGATACCACAAAAACTAAACCAACAGGTTTCATCATCCATCCATTTTGATTCTCTAATGAACCTTATTAGATCGATGACTTTGACGTCAGCTAACTTTGATAGACCATTCAGCAGTCGGATCCCAAAAGTACGAAACCTCGCCATGCTCAAAGCAGGCCAGAAGCGCAAGAGATGGATGATCATTTCAACTTCTTCATTTTTCTTGCAGCTTCTCCAGCATGTTCTGTAGGTGTGGCCTGTCAGAACTGCTATTACTTACCTTTCTTCAGGCGTAAATATATTGTGATCTTGTCTTAGGCCAAATGCGCCGGCATTTGCGGTAGATTTTAATGTCATTCCTCCTTGTAATATATATTTTAAGAATATATCTTAAAGAACTCCCCATCTTGTTTTGGTATCGAATGACTCAAAAAGTTTCTTCGCGAATCTGATGGATCTTTTGGTGTTGCATGATATACATATATGTATAAGTTTTGCGACGGTATCAAAATCCGCCTTAGTAGCGTGGAGGTAGCTTCATACTGTGCTGTCGAAGGCAGCTCTATAATCGATATAAAGGTCATGGGTATCAATCCTTTATTCACCGGTCTTTTCCAAGATGGTAATTAAGTGGTCTAGACTAGATTTTACAGATCTAAAGTGCGACTGATATGATCCCGACCGTTTGTTGAAGTTGAGCATAAGTCTCTTGCATAATGCAATCCATGGTAATGGTGCATACTGTGGGATGTCTCTTGTTTTAGATTGCGTAAGGCAGACGTAGGTTCAAATCAACGAGCCTGTCCTCCTTATAGGAGCTGATACGTACACCTTGTCACTTCTTCTCCTCCTGATTTAAAGAGTTCGACGGTTAGTCAGTCAGTCAGTCGCTTCGTGTTTCTTCAGGCCGGCATTTGTTATCATGGTCAGTGCAATGGGTACCACCTCTTTGAGTCCTAAAGGGTGTGCTCCGGTCTTGAAAACTACTATAAGTCGCCGCATCTTTTCGTGCCTACCATATGCCGGTGATTTCGGATTGTACGAAAAACGTGGCAAGTCAGTAACTAAATGTTCATTATAATCAAATGGGAAACAATTCAGGTGAGCGTGACACCTCACAGTTTAGCATCAAAAAGTATTTTCTCAAGCACATTTTCTTCTTTACTGGCTTTGACACCAAAACCAAAACATTTCTCTCGAAAACTTCCTTCGGTGGCTCATCAGATGCTGCCTTCGTTCATGCTTCCGCACCATATAGCAGGACGGGAGCGATGATTGAGTTGTAGAGTTTGGTCTTCGTTCTCGATAACCACTTTATAGAATTCGATATATACTCATAATTCTTATGGTCTACTATGAACACGCAATTGGGCAACAACAATGCTTTTGTTCCATATAACGGACTTTTGCAACCCTTGCTAGACTCAGTATTGCATTTTCAACGTATTACTTAAGAGAACTCAACCAAATTTGGTAGATGTGCTACTTTTAATGGGACTGTTATCCTACCATAGGTCCAGAAATAGTGTACCGTTCTACCCGAACTTAGTCTTACTTACTCGTTATCTATAAACTTATGTTCATTTGCAAAGATATTCAAAACCAAAAAGTTCCCGACGACTTGACTTGAAATTTTGTCAGATTACTTCTATGGCCCTTGGAAGGGATTTACTTGGTATTCGATATATAAATAGCTTTCTTCGATTAGCAGACCAAAGACCGACGTATTCGAACAAATCATTTTTATAGTTCGATTTACTTGAAACTCTTTTTTTTACGGGAAGCGATGGATCATGGTTCGCTTCAGTTAAATTTTCGGTTGGTATGCCTAATAATACTTTTGCTTCCTGTAAATGGACCACAGACCCAAGACCAAGTTCGGTTTGCTTGAAATTAAGTAATACTTTAGCGGTAGAGGATCATCGACAGGACGTAGGTATGTTCGGTTCGCATTTTTGTTAATCTGACGCTGCGGGTCACAAGCTATTCCTATAATTTCAGCTTGAGTGTGAATAAGCACAGATCCGATTGAAGAAAAATTTCCTATAAAAACACCGATTTTGTTCGGCCAAATTAGATTTGAAACAACGGCGATTGCTGGAAACCTTCTTCATAATAATTAAAAAATATTCAGTTGACGAATCAGATTAAGGCGGAATGCCTAGCATGATAGACTGCCTAGATTATGACTGAGATGGGAAGTACACCCAACAGTTGTTGGTTTAATGAATGATGCGACATCTACTGGCATCCCACGCGAGCGGATGAGTATTAGAAGCAAGCAATACTGCGACATTTGCGTTTTTGCTTCGTCTCTACCTGGTCCTATGTAAAACACTTTTAGATATTAAGGAGCTTTTAGAGGACCTGAGGTAGTTTCAAAACTGAACTTACAGGTTACCTTTCAACTTAGAAAACGACTTCTTTATCTTACCTAACCGCTGAAGCGATTTTCAGCCGAGATCCACCTCCAGTTTGTGGTATGCGTATTGATGTTTTTCAAACAAAAGGAGGGACCTACAGTTTATAATAAGCCGCCTTCGAACGGCTGATGAATTTTTATAAGGAGCCTTTATTTCATATCAGAAGCACACTCAGAGGCGCTGACATTCCCTACCGTGGGGCGACCGCTATTAGAAAAGTAAGGTGCCTTCCGCATGCTAACCACTCGTCTATCGCGGCCGCCTCCTTAGTCTAACCTGTCTAATAGAACTAAGTAATCTGACGTGAAAACATATTAAAAGCTCAATAAACTGAAACTAAACTAAAGATACTCAACCACAGATCGCTGCCTCCAGGTGTGACCTTAAGTCCTCTGCAGCGAGCTATGATTTTATAGATATTATTTTATCAATTTATTTCATACGTTTACGTTTCTCCCTCCGCTTTCACTTTTACAGATGCATTCATATTCCTCACATCGGGCATGAATTTGGCATTAAGCCTGGGCTGGTACTACAATTCCGTATCGAGCCACTTTCAATTTGCATGGTTCGTTGGAATAATTATTGGTGCGCTATTATCAGCGGGACTCACACAAATTCTAATCAAACGTTATTTTGTGGTAAGCGAAAAAGTGGAAGAAGAAGAAGTGAAAATTGAATTTAATAAAATATTCATCTTATACCCCACAGTTGCTCAGCAGTTTTCTGGTTGTAGTCGCAGGAATTTTATACACCGCCTGTCCGTATGAAAGCACAGTATTGCTTGTGGCGCGTTATCTTAACGGCATCGGCACCGGACTGATCACTGTACCCTTCATCGTGCACTGCAGTGAAATAAGTGCGACTGCTAAACGCGGCTTCACACTGGGTCTCGAACAATTGTGTGTGGCGTTGGGCATATTCATACAAGTGACATACATTGCGCTTTGGGACATAAATAACAGTGTATCGCCGACACGCGTACATGGTATTTTCTGTCTGGGCTTCGGTTTAGGCGCACTGGGTTTGGCTTACCTTGTCATTGAATCACCTGTCTACTACGTACGTCAAGCTAATGATGCCAAAGCCCTAAACTCCCTGACTTGCCTACAATTGCCAACCATACTGACGGAGGAGAAAAAACTGCTCTTGCAAGTACATAAAGACTTTGTCACGATGAATGAATATATCGGTAGGGGCGATAGTTTCATAAATGGTTTGGGACCGTTGCTGAGAATGATCTTCTATCGTGGCTTATTGGCTTTTACATTCTCATTGCCATACAGTATGCAACTGTATTTTTCAACTGCAATGGGCGTAAGCAACGACAGCCAATGGACCTCACCTTTCTATGCGGCAATACGGATTTTAGGAGTTTTAGCGGCAATTTCCATGTTTGACATTATCGGACGTAAACTAATTGGCTTAATTGGTTTGTTGGTAATGGGCGGTTTGGGCATCGGTATTGCTGTTATATTCGCTTACATGGAAAATTGGGTACAAGAGAATCCAATGAGGCTGGCTTGTGTGCTTTTGCTGGTTTTTCAGCTTTTTGCCGGTTTATATGCACCAACAACAACGGTTTATTTAGGCGAAGCCTTCCCGATGATTGTAAAACCCTACTTTGTGGCATTGTGCGTTTGTGTGGAGTGTACGGTACATATTGTCGTCATATGTACGTTCACTTTTAATTTACATGAAATTTATGTCTTCAACACATTTACATACGCCTTGGTATTCGCATGCTTCCTCTTATTCCTCTTCACAATACCAGAGACAAAATTGACGACGCTCAACGACGCACAGGAGAGATTCCGCGCTTGGATTCACATCAAATTCATGTAAAGTTGTTAATATCGGAAACTTATTTTTGAATGCGTTTCATTGGATTTACAAACTTTATAGTGTGAGCTTCAGCGAGGAAAAATTAATTTTAGAAACGTTTAGAACTTAAGCTAATTTTCACTTTTTTATGTACTTAAACGAGTCAAGAATCACAAACGATTTTCGTTTGATATTAATTCCTTATTATTTGCATATTTTTGTATAAGAAAACTGATGTAAATATATTTATATACAGACTTCAATATGTAGTTATTAACTTAAACCTTTAGAAATAATATGAATCATTAAGGGAATCCTCCCCTGATGTTGGACAAAAATCACTCAAAGTTTGTATTTTTGTTTTTTTTTTTGTGGGAGAATGAAAAGGCGTACGAAGTTCCGGTTTTGACTATTGATTTTTTATAATATTTGAGTGGAAATTCAAAATCACGCTTACAAAATAGCGCTTTCATCGGACTCTGCGCGAAAAACATTGCCCAACAACTTCAAGTCTACAGCCTCTTGTAGTAGACTGAAATCAAAAATCGTTGTCATATATTGAAGATCATGAAATTTTTCACATCCTGAACCTGAACTAAAACAATTTTAACAGTAAATTTATTGCATAATGCTCATTGTAATTGTAAAATTAAATTTGTTGCTAATTTTTTTCACTTCCGTTACGTTAAAAAAATATAAATAAATAATTATTAATGCTAATATTAGGTTCGAGACGTACAAAAAACTGTATACTTTGAAACAGTTTTTAGATAAAAGAAATCGGATGAATAGATCAAGCCCGGGGCTTGAGAAAAGCACGTTCAGTTTTTCCGTAAAAAAAATAGATTTTTTGATATAAAATCAGTGAAGGGTTTTTTTAAGTTTCCCCATATAAAGACACGCTCTTAATAAATAACTAAATTTAATAAAATAACATTTCTGAAAAATGTTCTAAAAATTTCTATAAAATGAATGTCATCAACACTGAAAATACTGTAAAAATTAAGTCATTTCGAAAATCTCCTAATCCGATCCAGATTTCGGCTTAATAGACGACGTTAAAAAATACAAAATTTAATAAAAAAATCACTTAACAGCAAATACCGCAAATAAATTCACATATAAATTTCAAACAATCGCCTGAAAGTATGTAATATTGTAAAAAAAACAATAACCACCCCAATAGGAAATTTGTCGATATATTCACGGTCACTTATCTGTCACGCACGCTTTTAGATTTGTCATCTACCGTGTTAGGTTTAATAATGGACATTAAACGTAAATAAAACGTATTTAGAATCTATTTTTGATTTTTTTTTTTATAAAATTTCTTTTTTTATTATTCATCATCATTCAAGTAACCGCCTCGCGAATTTCTGCAATCTTCAATTCGTTTGAGATGATTTTTGACCATTTTTGGCATATATTGGGCGGTAACTCAGTCATAACTTGACTTGGCAATGGTAGACTTGATTTACGGTTTGGGCCGTTGAAAGAAATTATTTGTGGACGATTCCACGGCTATCAAAAAAGGCAATAATCATCGTTTTCACCTTCGACTTGCTCATGCGAGCTTTTTTTTTAGGGCGGGGGGAGTGCCCAGACAACCGTTGGCGTTTGGTTTCCAGGTCATATTGAAAAACCCAGCTGTCATCGCCTGTAATAATAAATTGTTTTCAATTTCTTGTCTCAACTCTTTTTCAAACTTGAATATTATCCGAAAGCGTGGAACAGTCGCAGATGATCATGAAATACATCGGTCAATGAGCTTGACGATCATACTTTTTGAAAAAGTGCTTCTAGAAAAAATATCTCTTTTTCCATGAATACGAATCTTTATTCATCGAAAGATTTAAAGATTGTTGTTGTTGCAGCCGCAAGTTTTTTGTCCGGATAAAAATTCGGGTCGTTCCGGTATAAATACCATGCATAACCCAAAGGGGGATTTCATCGTTGCCATTATTATTCTTAAAAAGGGGAAATCGTATGGGACTTCAAAGTTATAACTATCAACAGCGACGTGAGAACCCAGACCGTAGTGGGCTGACTGTGTGTTCGATGGCCTCATTCATTATCCGGCCTATTAGCTTCACTCCATTGTCGAAAGTCACGAGTTGAGTTGAGTTGATGCGACTTAGGCCAATTGGCGATACCGCTGAGGGTCCTGCCTTTACCTTCTCAAATGATCGAACCATTTCGTGTGCCTTATAAAGGCAACGATATTTCCAATATTCGCTGAGGTCAACTTAGCGAGACAGTCGAAGAAATGTTTCCCAAGGTACTTGTGCCGCGCAGTTGTCAAGGCTGGACAGTGGATAGAGATAGAGATCTCTTCCTCTTCTTCGTCCCTACAGCCGCGGCAGAAATCGTTAGAGTAATAGCCCATCCTATTCCCGTGAATATGTCCCGTTATTATACCAGTCGTTGGTTAATGGAGGACCGGTCCAGAAGGATAAGATGTTTTGATTTTTTCGTATCCAACTTCGGCTATAGCTGTCACGTGATCTCGTTCAACCAACGTGAGTCAGCGTCCCTGGTGAATGCCAGTTTAAGCATGTACTTAGCCGTGAACAGAGGTAAACCAGCAACGAGTACCTGTTTTATCATAGACAGAAGGGTTGATTCAATTAAAATTACGGCCACTATTGACGTGGTATCGTGCCATTGGAGATCTAATTTCAGCCTGACTATAAGACTAAATTGTAACCGATTGAACAGCTACCGTGATTCCGCGGCTTCTATGAATGCGAAGAGTTCCGCTTGGAAAACGATGCAGTGATCCGGCATTCTCATGCTCATGCTTAATAAGCGCAAGGGCGAAAAAATTCCGCAACCCATCCTCCCTGTGAAGGTTGCTATTGCTCCCTGGTTGGAGGCGTTGGTGTTTTCCCACTCACATCTGTTTGGGATTCTCGTAGAGAAAAGATTGTCGAAGCATACAGTGGAGGTGGTGCAGTCCAGCTCCTTCGACACTTCTTTAAGAGTTGTGGTTTTTGTATGTCCTATTGCGTTGCAACCTGCTTGTAGTTTCCCGAATAAGTCCAGAGGAAGGAGGTTGAGAAGAGTCAGCTAAACTATTGCAACGATTAAGACACTTAGCGAGCTTAATTCAATTATAAAGAACGTGCTCTTACTTGAGTGAGGCGGAAGAAATTAAACCTCATCTTTTATATGATTTCATGATTTTTTAAGCTACGAAATCAAGATGTCAAAGCCAAAAATAAATAACCTAACAACTTAAAGCTTGTGGTATTACAAGGCCTAAGTGAATTCATTTTCTACGCTACGCAGAGAGGTTAGACGTGCCATCATCAATACAAACCTTAAGGATGATTAGATCGATTTTAATCGGTAACCTTTAGAGATTTGAGGAAAAATATAGCGAGTGCGATGATACGACGATTGCTTCGATTTGCAAACCTACAAATTTGGGTGATTAACGGGTGGAGATCATTAGGATGAGGTGATCCACGCAAACCTAACCTAAGCGAATTGATGTATTTATTGCCATTGCTATTCATTTATTTTAGTTATTTATATTAACTCATTTAACTGCCTAATTGTAAGATTTGTAATTTAGTCCATCTTCGGTATTAAAATTCCATCTTACCATATTTTTTCCTGACTCTGAAATATGTTGATGAGTTAAACTTCAAAATTGATGTGCGCAAAGAGGTGAGCGAAATTCTGCATTTAAAGACTTGGTAAACCAAAATAACTTCATTCAATTATTTTAAGATATCTACATGAATAGATACATATGGTGATTTGAGCTCATAATTAATCTTAGATAAATTAAGACTCACTACTTTCACGTGCTTTATTTAAAAATTTTCATACAACTCCATAAAAAGATTGAAGTCTTTTGATTGATAACTTCCGGCCTTTAACTGAAAAAAGCCAAAAACTAATTCTGCAAACGGTGTTGGTATAGACTACATTTCCATTTAATGGTTGCGGTATATAACAGTGAAAGATATTATAAGAATCTAAATGTATAATTATTCAGTGAAAAATTAAATATTAATTTCTTATAATGTAGAAAAATGGAAACAATTTTTTTCTTATATTACTAAAATGATATTTTTTCATAAAGAAATTGTACATAGAAAAAAATTTTCTTTTCGAAATCAGAATTATTTTTTCTGTACAGAAATCCAACGCTCCTTGAGCAGTGTTGACGTGACCATAGCAGGTGATTTCTCTCTCTCTCTCTCTCTCCTTCTCTCTCTCTCTCCTTCTCTCTCTCTCTTTCTCTCTCTCTCTCTCTATCTCTCTCTCTATCTCTCTCTCTATCTCTCTATCTCTCTCTCTATCTCTCTCTCTATCTCTCTATCTCTCTCTCTCTCTATCTCTCTATATCTCTATCTCTCTCTCTCTCTCTCTATCTCTCTATATCTCTCCCTCTCTCTCTCTCTCTCTTTAGAGAGCAACAAGTAAGCTCATGAAACAACCAGAGAGCAAAGAACGCATAGAATAAATCCGCTGATTTGATAATAGAAAAAGTATTTTGTATTTGAGGAAAACAAATATTGCCCAGCTTGATATATGAAAAGCATAGTGTTGAGCACGAGGGACTGCTCTATATAAATAGTCCCTCCCTATCTTCTTTTTACACATAAAAGAGATTTATTCATTCAATCTGCTTAATTTAAACCTAACAATAAGTAATCTTAATAACTAACAAATTACCACTTTAGTTCATTAATAGCAATGGACGTCAGGAAAAATATTGCTCTTCAAAATACTGGCAGATCCCCTCTCCGAATGCGAGTTCGACTTACTGGGTGGGGTAAAACGTTTGCCATAGGTTTCCAATGACTTTGTAGTTTCGACAGGTATGTTTCTCACTTCTGTATCTATCATTGGAATTTCAAGGTCTCTAAGTATGTTTTTTATAGGAATCGCTGTTTTTTATGGATACTAGTGCGGGTTAGAGGTTCAAGAATTTACCCGCGGTAAGGCACGTAAGAGTCTACTAAAATCCAATAGTTGCCGCGACAGTCGGGTCTTTATACAGGAACGACCCTGATCTTTATCCGGCCAAGGACTGTCACTCCAGCAACATTCCCCAAAAAGCACTTTGGAGAACATTTTTACGGTTACAACAACAACATGGCCAGGTAGAACGCCATAATTGTATTCCGTACATCCATATTGGCTTTATGACAGAATTATATAAAAGAATTATATGATTCAAGCAGGAACCTGAATTTTTACACAATAACCAATTTAGGCTGGCGGTTTTATGTTTGAGGTTCTGTATTTTAGCAGAAATATGACTCTTCCAGGTAAGTCGCCTATCTAGGTTCATGCCGAGGTATTTAACTTCGCTTGCTTGAGGGACCTTTTATTGGGTACTTGTCCTTTTATTGGACATAAAATATCGGTATCGTCAGCGAAAGTTGGAGTTAGAACTTTTGCGGACGTCGGAATGTTTGCAGGACATACCGTATTGATCTCAAAACTCTGCCCTGAGAAACACGAGCCATGATTGGACACCCCTCTGAGATATATTCCTTAACTGTAAACTGATTTGATAGAAATTTTTTGGCGAGGTCATTTTGATTTTACAAATATAAGTCCTTCACGTCATACTTTATCGAATGCTTGAGCCACATAAAGAAATATAGTATTGCTGAGCAATACTCTTACAACTCAAATGCCTTCCTGATCTCCTTGGTGAAGCGATGGACTTGTTCTATAGTACCATATTTTTCGCGAAACCCAAGTGGGTGGTTTCGTATAGTTACGTATTCGAGGAAAAGAGGAGATATCTTGGATAGCAGCATTTTTTCAAAAAGTTTGGAAAGAACGGGCAATAGGCTAATTGGCCGACATGATGAGGGTAGCATTGCGTCTTTTCCTATTGAGAACATAATATTTAATAATTGGCTGAAGGGATTTTCGGCCGAGCTCATACTTCAATTTCTGACTTGCATTTTGATATTTTTTTTCCGAGGATCTGTAGTTTCTTATAAGCGGCCTCCACGCAGCCGACGGCGTCGTAGTATATTTTATACGGAAAACGCAAGTCAGGCAATTAAAAATGTGAACATTTTTGAATTCTTCGATTTGATAAAATAATGGAAATTCCCGACAGTTAGGAACTACCAGAAAAAGACTCAAGAAAAAAATCTCATCGAGTGAACTTCCATCTGCTAATCGCTGTAAAATCGTACGAAAATCAATCCTTTTCTAAAAACGGTCGTAGTCGAAGGGCAGTAAGACGGCGCCGCAAACTGTCTCCCAGCCAGGTTTAACGGTAAGGTAAGTTTTCTGTGTGTTTGGTGGGATTGGCAACCCACTGTGACCTGCACTCATCCAGTCAAAGTTTAAAACGGAGCTGTACCATATGAATGAAAGAATCGCACTACTGGTGTAGTCGATAACGTTTCTCAACAATGGTTTAAGCTCATAGTATACCCCACCCGTCTCGTCCCACCATATGCAGAGCACGACCGTTGAACCGTGGTTATTTTTCTTTGGCATGGATGTAAGCGCTGATGGCACGGGCTCATCAAGGTAGGGGTTATCATATGATATATCCGCTTTTCATCTCCAGTCATGATTTCGTGCAAAAATCCCTTCCTTCGCTTTCTTTCAAAAAGCATTTCTGAGGAGAACTCGTACAGCATCCGATTTCCTTGCTTTTCAGTAAATCCAAATTGATTTGACCGAACAGAAATTGTTTGTGACGTCACTTTCAACGATTGTTCGAGTCAAGTTTCCCATTTGGTATGGCACTTGTTCCAGTAAAGCTTATAAATCCTCATCTTCAAACTTTTATGTTGGCTATAGCGCTCTCTATTTTCAACGGTAAAAACAGCACTTTTGAAGCATCGAAGGCACTCTCTGCATAACTTACCGGGCGGGTCAGTTTTATCACAAGAATTCCATGGTCTTCAGCCGCACTTTTCTTCCAATAAAAAAATAGAACATTAAAACTTCACACAAATGCTCTTTATTTGACAAAAATTCGGACATTATCGAAGAGGCAGAAAATAATATTGTGGTGAGAAACAGACGCTGGTACACACTAAATGAGGAAGCGCAGTGACTGACCTATTCTTAGCAAGCGTAGGCTGTACAAAAAGTATACCTGCTCCACTTTATCGTTGGAACGATGAGCTTAGCGAGATATATGTCGACATTGAGAAGAAGATCCTGGCTCTCCTTGGCGTCTGCAGCTGGCACCAGAACTCTAAATAACCATTAAGAGAACCTCTGGCTGCTGTAGCTGAGTGGGTAGCGTGAGATCGAGTTGTGTTGAAAATATAAAATCTATAGAATTTTTTTTTTTATTCGCAACAAAATTATTTGTTTAAAAATACATTCCAAAGGTAAGTTATTGCCATACTTAGTTAGTTCGTACATACATATCTACCTACAACTTTTTTATCAAATTTCAATTAGGTCTTATGCAAAGCATGGCAGTGGCATAAAAAAAAATATATCTACATAACACCACAAATTCAAAATTGAGCCTTCATTTAGTCAACATATGGATTTAAAGTATTCAAAATTCCTAAACAACTAAAATGGACAAGCGAATTCGCCGCATTCTTCGCGCAGTGTTGTTAAGTATTGAAATATTCTAGTGATAAATATGTAAACTTATGTGTCTCCTTGGCAGGTTCATATATCATTTTTCACTTAGATAAAATTAAAAATTAATCAAATAGAAAATATTTATATAAGAAGCCTATCAAACTGACGATCAGTTCTTTTTACGCATTGACACCAGACGGAACAGAGTAGCCTAGCCAGCTACTCTTATCGAATAACAGTTAGGTGAATCGTGTAACATCAATTCTTACTGTGGTGTGTGCTGTCAGTGATTAGTTAGTGGGATGGTTGCGGAAACAGTGTCTAGTTATGGCCGCTTGTGGGTGGATCGTCCACAAACGTTGGCCGTACTGTCAGGTATCAACTCACCCCTTTTCTAAGTAAAAAAAAAAAAGTGAAACAACTGAAAAGCTGCTGTGTATTTTCCTCATTTTTCAATTTTCTTCCGCAGACTTCTTCATCTTCCTTACGGGTGGCATGAATTTGGCTGTCAGCGTTGGCTGGGCGAGAGATGAATACACATTGCAGTTTCGCATTTGTTGGTATATTGGAGTAGCGATTGGTGCTTTTATTGCACCGCCACTAGTGCAATGGAAACGGAAGCGTTTGTATATTGTAAGTGTATTAGTATGTGTACATATTTAAATTAATTAGTGGGAAATGTGCGTGCTTAATTTGATTAACAATGTGGGTGCGAAAGGCTTTTCACAAACAAGGATGTGAGTTTCCTTTCACGAAGAAAATACAAAAGGAAGCAAAATAAAAAGAAGGAAAAATAAAAAAATTGTGAAAAATAAAAAAACTAACTCAATAATATAAACGAAATAAAAATAATATCAAATCAAATAAAAAAAAATAAGTTTAAGAGAATAAAAAAAATATTAATGCAAAAAAAAAAAAAATAAATTCAGAAAAGATTGAATAAAATTAAATCAAACAAACCTACAAAAAAAACTTGCATAATTTAAAAGAGTTGAAAAAATTAAAATTAATTTAGGATCGATAGCCTTAGCAGCTAGTGTTTCCACTTTTGTAATATTGTAAATAATATTATTAAATAAATAAACATGAAAATAAATAAAATTAAAAAATTAAAATAGAGCGAAATCAAATAAAAGTTGGTAAAATAAAAAAATAAAAGTTTATAAATTAAATAAATTTAAATAAAGTAAAGTAAAATATATTAAGCAAGATGAAGTAAAATAAAATACAATAACTAATTAACATAAATTTATTTAAAATTAAAATAATATAAAGCCAAATAAAACAATATAAAATAAAAGAAAATTTAAACAAACCAAAGCAAAAAAATGAAATAAAAACTAAGTAAAAATATACATAATAATATAATAAAAAAATAATAACTAACTATGAAACAAAATAAGGTAAAATTAAATGAATTAAATAATATAAATACAAATTAAAAACTAGATAAAATGGGACAAAATACAGTAAAACTAAATGAATAACGTGATATAAATACAAATTAAAAAATAAATAAAATAATATAAAATAAAATAACACAAAAAATAAATCAAAATAAATTGATATAAAGTAATGTAAAACAAAACAAAATAAAATGAAATAGAATAAACTTAAAATTAAAATAATAATAAAAAACAATGACATTTAATTAGTATTAAAATAATGAAAACTCAAATAAAATAAATATATTTAAAGTAATAAATGAAAAATAAAATAAGCAAAATTTATTAATTAAAATCAAAGAGAATAAAATAACATAAAATAAATTTAATAAAAAAAATAATATAAGCAAAATTTTTTAAATTAATTAAAAGAGAATAAAATAACATAAAATAAATTTAATAAAAAATATAAACTGAGCAAAATTTTTTAAATTAATTAAAAGAGAATAAAATAACATAAAAATGACAAAAAATTTATAAAAAAAAAAATAAAATAAATAAAAATTAATAAAATAAAATATGAAACAAACAAAATAATCGCAACTTTTTTAATATGTAAAACTAAAGAAATTCACACAAAATCAAATATTATTAAATTCATATAAACTCAATTAAATTAATGTAATTAAAATAAAATAAAAAATTTGAAAAATGCACTTAAAGAAAATAAGCTAAAATATAGTTAAATAAAAAATATATAATAGAATATATAAAATTAAAATGAATTAAGTTAAATAAAATCATATGGAACAAAACAAAATAAAATAAATTAACGCAACATATTCAATATGTAAAACTAAATAAATTCACACAAAATTAAATAATATCAAATTAATAATTATTAAATAAATTAAAATAAAATGAAACAAAAGTAAGATGAGCAAAAAAAGAAGTATAAAATTAAGGTAAAGGTAAAATAAAATAACATAAAATAAACTTAATTAAAACAAATAAAAATAAAAAATATATCAAAAATAGGAAAAAAATAAAAGAAGAAATAAAATAAAGTGATAATAAACAAAACAAAATAATCGCAAAATATATTTTTTTAAATTAAATGAAATTAAAATTGAAAAAAAAAAACAAAAATTAAAAAAAAAACAGTTAACTTAAAGAGATTGAGTAATGTTATTAATAGTATTAAATAAAATAAAATAAATTAAACAAAATAAAATAAATGAAAAAAATTCAAAGAGAGTAAAGTAAACTTAAGCAAAGTAAAATAATATAAAATAATTTATATAAAATAAAAAACAAGAAATTTACTTAAATAAAATAAACTAAAATATAATTAAATAAAAGATATATAATAGAATAAATAAAATGATAATAAATTAAACAAAATAAAAAAATTAAAAATTTAAAAAGTTTATAAATGGAAGAGAAATTGAATCAAGTAAAATAAAATAAAATTGAAAATATAAGGTAGTATAAAATAAATTAAATAAAACGATATGAAATAAAATAAATAAGATAAAATAATAATTAATTTATATATAATACTTAATTTATATAAACTCAATTAAATAAACTCAATTAAATTAAATAAATTTAAATTAAAAAAAATAAGAGAATAAAATAACATAATAAACAATAATTAAAATAAAATAAAAATAAAAAAATAAAGTATAATAAACTAAAATAAAGTAATATAATATAAAATAACATATATAAAAAAATAAAACACAAATAAAAAAATCAATAAATTATAGTAATATAAAATAAATTAAAACATGATTATACAAAAAAAAAATAAAAAATAAAGTGGGAAGATTAAAGTAAGGAAAAGAACAAATTTTATTAAATCAATAAAAATATATTAAATTACAAAAATATAAGTTAAAAAATATTTAATAAATTAATATAAAATTAACACACCAAAATGAAATGAAAAAAGAAGAAACATAAATTAAATTTAAATTAATTAACAAACCTAAAATAATATATCACAAAATTAAAATTTAACCAGCAAAATTAATTAAAGTAAACTAACAAAAAGTAAAATTAATTAAATTGAACTAAAATAAAACTTAAATCAAATATAACCACATTAAACGGATTAAATTAAAATAAAATTAATTATAAACTAAAATGAAACAAAATTAAATTAATTCAACAACAAAACCTAAATTAATTGAAATTAAATAAAATGAAAAGTTCAAAATAGAATTATTAGAGGTGCCGGTTGTATACCTGTGAGGTTACTTTAAGAGTGAACAATGTTTTTTTTTAATTTCCTCTTTTTTTTTGTATATTTGAGACCAGTTAAGGACGTGTGTCATGATATTATTCTTGAAATTTTCAATTTTAGAACAACAAATGCCCCACACCTTCGCATTTCCCACAACTTTATTCGTAGAAGTATTTAATTATCTTAGAAAGATAGCAGATAACACCACAACCAAATATTCAATGATTTAACTATATCATAATTAAAACATATCTCTGAAAATCTTCCAGATTCTACCCAATCTGCTTGTGGCGGCTTCCGCCATTGTCGCTGTCTCAGGCTATCAATATTTGGGCGTCGGTATCGCATCACGTTACATTGATGGCATCTGCATTGGACTGGCTACCGTCTCTTTCATCACACATGTCAGTGAGATCTCTTCGGAACATCGACGTGGCTTCTGTTTGGCCTTCGAACAAATCGGACTTGCCGTTGGCGCCTACGTACAAATGCTCTACACTTCACTTTGGATACAGGGCACAAACTTTAGCCCAAGTTTACTAATGGGTTTGTGTAATTTATTCTTTGGCTGCATGGCGGCCTTCTTGACGTACACGCAAAAGGACTCACCTGTCTTTCATATGAGAAAGGGTGACGAAACAAGCGCCGTGGCCTGTGTAAATGTACTCTATCAACCACCGATAATGACGGAAAATAAACAATTAGCAATTACTGATATCAAAATGTATGTAGCAATGAACGATTCGATGTCGTTGGGCGAAAGTTTCGCCAAAGGCTTGGTGCCGCTTATCAAAATGATCATATACCGTAGTATGCTTTCGTTCATCATTTCATTGCCAATTATGTTGGCGCTGAATGATGGTGGTATAATTAGTGCACCGAATGTTATCAATTGGCATCCAATACTGTATGGATTTTTGGGTGTGCTAGGACCCGTTGTGGCCTCAACAACATTGGGTGGCATCGGACACAAATGGTTGAGTTTGTTTACCCTCTTAGTGGCTGGTGGTATGTTCCTCGGCGTGGGCATTGTATATCATGTCGACTCAAATCTGTCAGTCGAAGTGCGTATGTCAATGGTTGTTGCTTTGCTAATGATTGGACAATTTCTTGGCGGCATATTCGCGCCGAGCACAACGGTGTTTCTCGGTGAGGCATTTCCTTTGAAAGTGAAGCCCTATTTCATAGCTATCTGTATAATTGTGCAAAATATGGTGGGTTTAATTATAGTCTGTACATACAATTATACTTCATACAATGAATTCGTTTACTGTGTCGTTGTGGGCGTAATAATGATGTTTTTCGCAATCGTGTTCGCCTTTACATTGCCGGAAACTAGAAAGAGGAAGTTGCGTGAAGCTCAAGAGCAATTTGAGTATTTCTTTAATTTCAAAGTGCAGTGAGGGAAGGTTCGGCTAAAGGTTAGGAGCAGAAGCTTTTAGAAGTTATTTTGGGGCTAAATTAAGTAGTTTCACTTATGAAAGCTCTTTCAAGTCTTTTAAACTTTTAACGAAAGTCAAGCACAAAGAGCTTCGCCATATTAGAAATAGTATACATTAATTGCTTTAATTTATAAATAAAACATAATAAAAAATTTTTTCACAAAGCTTTTATTATTGTGCACGTGGGCTGAGCCAAGTGAAAGTAAAGTTTTTTTTTTAAGGAGTTTCCATGCAACCTTTAACGACATTCAGTTTAAAAAAGGTGCGAAAATATCTAAATGAAAAAGTTTTTACAAATCTACTTAAAGCTTTTATTACTATACTCAGCTTAGTGGCTTTTTTTTATAAAAGCTAATACGTAAACTTACAGTGAAAGTGCAGCTTTTTTGTAAGGAGTTTCCATGCAACCTTTAACGACATTCAGTTTAAAAAAGTTACGAAAATTTTTAAATGAAAAGAAATGAAAATTTATCAAAACTCTGCTTTTAAGCTTTGAAACACTTTTCAGCATGCTTTTGGCGTAAACTTCGTAACTTTTTTGTTATGAAAATTTCCGTTCAGTGTAAGCTAAGCTTTTGTATTACGAAAGCTCTTCAAGACTTTTTGTAAGCATTTCATCAGCGCGATCAAACATTTTCTTGTATATTAAATTCTTAAGAGTTAAATTGTATTTTTAATTATCTGAATAAATATGTTAGCTATAATTATTGGTAATTTAAGTGAAAAATTGATTTTAACGAGCCATAAAATTTATAAAAATATGAATAAAATTGTACAAAATCATTACCAGCGATGAACAAGGCCAATGCAATTTATTTATCACTAAAGGGGTATTTAGATTTCTTTGGTTGTCAATAAAATTTTGATTAGACATTTTCCCTTATCTCTTAATTTTTATCAATTTTTATCAAAACCAATTAATTCTCTGCTTCATTTGCATTTGATCGCTGAAGACTCGTACTGCCACCGTTTTTTAATACAGGTACTTAATATTTCATAATCTCAGAAATTTAATAATACATACATATGTTTAGCTAGACATACATATCAATATTATGGTTTTTAAATATTTGTTGTTTTTTTTTCTTTCATTTATACCGTCAAAATGGATTTGGTCTAAGTCAAATGCTTAAACATTTAGTATGACTTAAATAACTTTATATAATATATGTATGTATGTGTGTATGTATATATGTGAGTACATAAATGTGAAATCAAGGCAAGCATTAAAAAATCTAAATAATATCAAAATTAAGCATAGAAGTATAGGGTTACCCTTTTTGTGGATTCAAAGGTACAAAGCTGTATTTTAACAACTATCAAATTAAACATACATACGTCGATTGCTTCTTGAACAACGAGCAGTGGACGACGATTTTTCGAAAAAAAATTTCTTCAGTACCGAGAAACATTTCTCACTCGGGGTATTTGGCCTATCGACAATCCTCAAATAAATGAAGAGAGAAATAGTCTATGATCTCGAATTTTTAAACATTTCGTCTTGTCCTCATTCACTACCAGACCCATATATTTTGCCTCATTATCCTGTCTGGAGAAAGCGGAACTTACAGCGCAGTTATTGGGATCAATAATGTCAATATCATCGGTATTCAACTCTGTATCTGTATTCAACGCGTATCGTTTTGTCCAGCAATAAATTAAAGATTGATTCGGGGAGGTTCTTTCTAAACTTAACTTCAACTGACATAAGCGTTGTAGAGGCGATTTCTTTTCGTGCGATCGAAGGTTGTTTTAAAGCGGACGAAATGGTTGTAGGCGTCGATCCTCTTTTCACGGGCTTTGTTTCAAGATTTTGGGCATGGTGAATGACTTCTTAATACTTGATTACCCAGGTCTAAAGCCACACTGATAAAGTCCAATCCGTTTGTTGACGGTGGGTTTCAGTCTCTCACACAATACGCTCGACAGGACCTTAGAGGCGATATTAAGCAGGCTTATCCCATGATAATTGGCGCAGACTGTGACATCGTCTTTTTATAGATTGGAGTGAGACCACACTTAGATTTCATTCGTCTGGTCTGGTTTCTTTAAATAACTTTATATGTCACTAGATCCGAGCATATTCTGCAAAGAAGCTGATGTATATATCTGTCAGTTCTTCACCGCCATTTTTGAATAGCTCTGCCGGTAGGCCGTCAGCTTCAGCCGCTTTGTTGTTCTTTAGGCGGATAGCCGCCATTCGCACCTCATCATAGTCGGGTAATGAAACGTCTTTCCCATCTCTTGTTGTCCCCTTTACAAATTCAATTTACTCTGGGTATCAGTCGCTACATCATCTCTCTTGGTACTACGAGAGCTTACTCCGGTCTTAAAGCCTTTTGTAAGTCGTCGTATCTTTTCGAGGATTACCCTTCTCGGCCAGCTTCTCAAGCACCTCATACTCACGCCACTCGGTCTCTTTCTTTTTTTGCCTGCTGATGCCTCTTACTTCCCTCTTCGGTTCTCGATATCTATCCCACCCCGCCTGTGCTGTGATCGCAAGGTTGCGGCATAATAGATCGACATTCCTCATCGTGCCATCTCTTTTCTGTCACTGCCGAAAGCCAATTATTTCCATAGCATTGGTACGTTAAAAATTTGAGATACCGTTCTACAATTTCATTATATCAAGTGCTCTCAGAAAGCAGGAACGCAAATCGAATAGAAAGCCGCTGTGAATGCAGCATACTTGTGTTGGTTGACGAGCGTGTACGGAAGATAGTGATCCGAGTCGATGTAAGGTCCTTGGAGCGTACGCTCGTCTAGAACACTGGAGACATCTATTCCGTCAATCTCACCGACCGTGCAAAAGCCACGCTGCTTGATGTATTTTCTTGTGTGGAAATCTATTACTACAGACAACCATATTTCGGGCCCGGCAAATCAGGCAGCCTCAACCCATCTGGGGATATTTCATTATGGCTGCTGATTTTCGGACAGTTGTGTCGAAGATACCTTCTTTGCCCATCCTGGCGCTTCACATCGTGACGGGGGCAGCACCCACAAGTATGCTCTAAATAATCGTGAAAGGTATCCTTGGTCACATCCTCATTCTCTTCAATTGTAACATGGGCGAAAATAGGTGTTTTGTTGCGAATCGGGGCGAGGCGTTCATCCACCGGGCTGAATGCCAGTAATTGGCGACGCAGTCTCTCTGCCACCACAAATCCGACGCAAAATTTTGCGCCTTTTTATCTGGCGGCTGTATTAAATGTCGCAAGGACCTACCCGTTTCCGTCCGTGTCTCGTCCATCGCACTTTTTAGACGGCGGTGATGTCAGCCTGTATTCTTGTGGGAGCATCAACCAGCTGGGCAATGGTAAAAAGCTGCGCGAAGTAAAGCTTTTGGCTAAGAGAAATATTGTAGCTTTCCTCAACTATTCCCAAAGCAAACCCTATCTTATCATATATAACTATATAAATACTTTCAATGTATTGTTCATATAATTATGCTCTTATCTAACATACATATGTACGTCGATATTGTTTGTATACTACACACCACTGAACTTTTGTTTTGATGTGCGAAAAGAGTAGTGGTGAACTTGTAGGTGACAGGTGTCATTAAAAGAATATGAAAACTTGACTTGCGCATAAACAATCTTGCCAACAGGTGCTGATTTGAACTGAGTAGGCAAATGAGAAGTAAAGTCCTCTCTCAACGAACAAAGACCAAACTCTGCAAGTCTTTCGTCGTTCCTATCCTGCATAATATTGCCAAAGACCACAGCCGATTCTACGACAAGAAATATCTGCTGCGCTGGTTAGGTTATGTAGTCCGGATGGATAGGAATTTTCCAGTTTTGAAAAAAACACGTCGGTGGAAGTAGAGGAAGAGGAAGACCTCCATTGTAAAAGCCAGGTAGAGAAGAACCAAGCTGTACTTGGTTTTCCAATTGGCACCAAACGACCCAAATAAAATATGAAATGCGCAAAGCTTTCGAACTCAGCGATTTATTTGAGTCACCAAATTGTTTTGGGCAGTCCTATCATGCTACGACATACATACATATGTACTTATATTTAACCTTAGCCTTAAAGATACGAATGTACATAGATATACATATACATATGTATTTGGCAATCAATATACTTTCACTAAAACGATAATTAATACGAGGTGCGGCTGATAAATTCACGGCCTAAAATACTTAATGAAGCAAATGTATAGTTTTAGGTTATTGATTTTTCAATCTAATCTCCCTCAAGTGAAATACACTTTTTACGTCGTGAATACAAAAAATTTTTCTTTAGCTTCCTTTTCCCCTTCTCGCTATCCTAGGAACTGGTAGCCAATACCTTCGATGCCGAACTTTTCCACTTTGAATATTTGTTTTTTCGGGCTTTACCTTTTTTCGTCCACTGCATCGGCGACTCCTATTTGGACTCGGAATTATACAGACTACTGAAAGTTTCAGAAACTGTTTTTTTCATATTCATATGTTCACGCAAAATCTCTGCAGCTCTCTCTTAGTTAATCTAGAAACCTTGTGTCATCTGTCAAAATTTAATTTTTCGATCAACCAGTACCAATTTTCCGACATTCTGAACATTTCCTTCGGTCACGAACGTCACTGTGTTGCCTGGAAGGGGGTCATCTTCACAGGTCGCTCTATCTTGTTAAAACACCCGAGCCCACACCATCCTAAACGAAGTTGCAGAGTTCTGAAGAACCGATTACATCTCTTTAAAAATTTCTTTCCGGAAGTGCCTTTTCTATAAGGAATTAAATCACAGATCGGTGCACCGATTTGCGAGTATTTATGATACTTTTACTAGTAGTGAGTCCCGCGGTAACGAGATTATTTGTCATCTCTAACTACCTTAGGCCGCGAACTTATCAGCCAACCTTCGTATATATAAATACACTCCCATGCATACACATAAAAAAACATGATAATTTTACACACAAAGGGGGGAAATTGATAATTCTGCTCTTATCAGTTTCTTGGAAGAGTTTTTATTTATTTAGATAAGTTAAAAAGAAACCCTCTTTGGGAAAAATTCAAATCAAAGTAAAATTGTCATGAAATCATGTGCACCGTTAATAACAGTGATAGGATTTTGTAAAGTGTACATTGGATAAGTTAAAATTTCATTAAAAATAAATTTGTTTACCATTTTTCTCGAAGTACCAAATATTAGTTCATTTACTATATATTTATTAAAACAATTGTAGAAGTCCATTCCTTAGCCTCAAGTCGTTTCAATAATCGGATGAAATATTTTTTCCCATTTAAGCTACTAAACGGCTCCTGAACGCCATGGTAGATAAAATACATAAAATTGGCCGTTGAATTGCTTACCTCTTCTTTCAAACTATACAGCTGATGAGCGCTGCATATTATAACTCAGATAATATAAATGAAATTCCATACATTTAGTATTGCCGAAGACTTTATAAAATGCGGAAACATTTTGATTTTATTACTCATTAGTTTAATTGGAAAGATATTTGAAATATGGCCACCATAAATCCAGTTCTTACTGGCAAAAATCGATCGTGGGTAAATGCGCCTCAATCAATAGCTTTGGTTTCAGGTCAGTGCTAAACCGCAGAATATATACTTTACTTATTAAATATGTCTTTTTCTAAAAATGTCTCCAGATGCTTTCATTTTCATCACCGGTGGCTTTAATTTAGCCATTAGCGTTGGCTGGACCTATGAAATAGTCGATTTACACTTAAGCATTTGTTGGTTCAACGGTGTGGCAATCGGTGCTGTACTAGCGCCGTTGCTTACCAATTGGAAACGACGAAGGTTTTCCATAGTAAGTAGCTGAAAAAATATATAAGAAGTGCAATAAATTATAACTAACGAAACTGATATAAAAGTAAATGAAATTAAAATAGAATAGAATAAAATATAAAAAATAAAATTAACCGAAATACAATAAACAGAAATGAACGTAAATAAACTAAAAAAATAAAACTTCTTAAAATAATAATAAAAAAAAAAATAAGTAAAACAATATAAAATAAAGTATAGTAACATTAATTTACAAAAATTTTTTTAATATAAAATAAAATAAAAGTAATTAAAATGAAGTAAAATAAAATAAAATAATAATAAAATAAAATAAAATAATATAAAATAAAATAAAATAAAATAAAATAATTAATTTAATCATATAAAAAACATTTAGACTAAAGCAGAGTTCAATATAACAAAATTGAAAACAAAATATTAAATTAAATTGAGTATAGAAAAAAAATTAAATAAAATGAAATACAGAAAAATTCATAAAATTAATTAAAATATTGAAAATAACAAAATAAAAAATATATTTAAATTCAAAAACACTAAATAAATTAAAAAATAAATAAAATTAATTTAAAAGCATGAAATAAAATAATATATATGCAAATACAATTAAGCAGAAAAGAACAAAATAATAAATATGAAGTAAAACGTAAAAACAAAGGAAAATATAATAGTATAAATAAAAAAAAAGATATTTTTAAAAATAAAATGTTATATTATAAAGTAATAGTAATTTAATAAAAAATAAAATAAAGTAAAATGAGAGAAACCATTTTTATTAAACTAAAATAAAATAGAACAAACAAAATTGAATTTTCGCTATCTAATTAAAACAAAATAAAAAGAAATAATAAATAATAAATTGGAAAAAAAAATTAAAGAAACTTAAAAAATAAAAATTTATTTAAAAAAAATAACAAAAAGAAATTTAAGACCTATATTGAATTAAAATTAAAAAAATAATAAATATATAAGAAATAGCAACTATAACCTCTATTTCTATTGTTGTAATTTTTTCATTATTTACAACAAAATATACGGTCTGAAACAGTTCCATAAAAAACATAATTAAAAACTATTTCAACTAAAATAAAGGTAAATTCAAGAAAATAAATTAGATCGAAATAAAATAATTATAAAATAAATAATATTAAATGAAATCGAAACAAAATAAAATGAAATGAAATGAAATAAAAAATTAAATAAAGTTATATAAAATAAAAAAATTAGATAAGGTAAAATAAAATAAAATAAAATTATAAGCTAATATTAAAAGCAAATTTAATAATACGAATCTAAGTAATAAAAGCAATAGAAAATCAGTTTAATTTTTTTTTAATTTCATTTTGATATAAATTTATATTAAATTAGATAAAATCTTTAATATAATTAATATGTAATAAATGAAGTTGTAAATTGCATTAATTTGAGTTAAATTAATTGAAGTGATTCGAGGTATGTAAAACTTTTTAATAAAAGAAAATGAAATTTATACAATAATATAAATAAAATATAATAAAATTAAAAACTAAATTAAATTAAATATAGTACAAAACGTTAAATCGAAATGAAATTTTATTAAAATAAATATTAATAAAATAAACCCAGTTTCTTAACTTCTTGCTCTCATTATTGTTCTCTCCATGCAGTTCTCGCCCATATTACTCGTGAACGTTTCAGCGATAATCAACATGGCTGGGTACTACAATACCGATGCTTTGATTGCTGCACGTTATCTGAATGGCATCGGGATCGGCCTGACGACAGTTTCGTTCATTATTCACGCCAGTGAAATCGCCTCAGAACATTATCGTGGTTACTGCATGGCACTGGAGCAAATCGGTCTATACGGTGGCGCTTATGTACAAATTATATGCACATCATACTGGAGTTCAGGTGTGGATATCAATATTTATTGTCTCCAAGGCATATTTTCCATAATATTTGGTGTGATAGCATTAGCTGTGACCTTCACTTCGATCGACTCGCCAATTCAACATTTACGCAGAGGAGATGAGCCGGAGGCTTTAAATTGTGTCGTGCGTCTTTACCGACCGCCTATAATGACCAATGAGAAACAAGTCATCTTTAACAAACTTAAAGAATATGTGGCCATGAACGAGTCAATGTCACTGTGGAAGAGTTTCATAGGGAGTCTCATTCCACTACTGAAGGTTCTCTGCTATCGCTGTATGCTTTCATTTATCATTGCATTTCCGATCACACTGACACTACAATGGTCAGAGAGTATAGGTACGGCAGGCTCTTTAGTCAATTGGCCACCGACTCTGTATGGCTTGATTGGGTGTATTGGTGTATTGGTGGCATTTACGACATTGGATCCCATTGGCCGTAAGGCTGTGAGTTTATTTTCATTATTATGTGTTGCTGGTATGTATATCGGTGTTGGTGTTATCTTCAATGATCCAAACTCACTGTTTAACTCTACAAAAATGGCTACCGCATGTGCGCTATTAATGATCAGCAATATATTCGGTGGCATTTTTGCGCCTAGCACAACACTATATCTGGGTGAGGCGTTCCCGCTATATTGGAAGAGTTACTTTATCGCCTTCACCGTTATTGTGCAATATGTAGTCGACCTGATCATTGTATGTACGTTCACTTTTACCTCAAACAATGTGTTCGTCTTTTGCATTGCAACGGGTGTGATTATGTTTATTGGTTGCTTGGTATTTGCAGTCACTATGCCAGAAACTCGAAAGAATACCTTGAAAGAGACGCAAGAACAATTCGCATATGCACTTCATTTGAGATTTTATTAAAATGAAATTTTTTATTATAAGCATTTTCTTTTAAAACAATATAAAATCAGTTTAATAAAAGATGAAGTTCCTTCAACAGTAATTCAATAATTTATTATTTATTAAAGAAAGCGTTGTTTTTTAGTCAAGTTCTATCGCCAAGATGTCAACAAACGAATGGAAACGGAACCGGTTACTCCTTGTAATATTTATAACAACAATGACAATCAAATACAACAATTCACAATAGTTCATAATCAAAAAAGAATTGGCTGTACAACAAAACAAACAAAATATCCTTGAGATTCGAGCACAGATCCTTGAAACGTCCGCCTGTGTTTGAATCCCACCTTGATAGGCAAGTCCTAGATACGTCGCTGTTTCGTTGCTGCCGTTATGTGCTCGTGCAGTATTGTATTTGAGTCGTTCGATTGCTTTCCGCCGAGTAGCGCCGTCGGGCATCTAAAAGCGTAACAGCATCTCAGAAGTGATAACTTTAACATAGTCCGCACTGCCTTGACTCCTCTACCGATGGCACAAAAGAGTCGGAAAATTCAAATAGCAGCGAGTGTTGAAGTCACAAAGCTTTGCAATTTGGGTGGCACTGTTAGTATGCAGCAGGCTATTGTCATCATTCATTTAGCTGACAACTGCCGGGGTTTTCCGTTTAAGAAAGCAGAATAAAAGGTAAAACGTAATATTTGTAGATATCAAATTTTCTGATTTGATACTTTCTGGAGCTAAGAAGTAATTCATCACTCCACCCAACTATTATCTTTTCAACATTATAAATGACGCTTCGGAAAAAGTGTTTGCGGAAGTTTTTTCATCAAACTGATATATTGCGGAATGGACTACTACAATCGTCCTCGCGTGGCTGGAGAAAATCATTGTGTTTCTAGCAGAACTTTGTAGCCAATCGGGTTTCAGGGTTTCAGGATTCAGGAGAGAGTCGGAAATGATAAACGGCGGCAGGTTGACTGAATATCTGAAAAAAATTTTCCCTTTCTCATCCATTACAAGCAATCTCGAAGATATTCCCTTACTCATAAATGAAATTCATACTCCCCGAAATAGTAAGAACTTGAACTTAAGCCCGAGTTTCGACTATGACGGTCTCATGCGAGCAAATAGCAATAGTGGTTACCGAAAACCTAGCATGCAATAAAATCTAGCATACAAAAATGGAAAGTGTATCATCTTGTGGCAGGCGGCCGCGGTAGCCGAGTGGTTAGCATTGCGTACTGCGATTCGGAAGGCTCGTGCTCAAATCCCAGTGCGACCAACATCCAAAATTATAGAAAGTTAATACAAATAAAAAATTCAATTAAATTTTCCAATCACGGTCGCCCCTCGGCAGGGAATGTCGACCCCTCCGAGTGTAGTTCTGATGTGAAATAAAGGCTCCTCTTAAAAACCAACAGCCGATCGGAGGCGGCATAGTATAAATTGTAGGTCTTTGCATTTATTGTAAAAATATCAAGACGCAACACCACAAAAATTTGGAGGAGCTTTGCTGAAAATCGCGTCGGCGGCTGCATATCTCATCCTTTGGCGACCAAACCGGAAGAACGATCTTCGTTAACAAGACCCATTAAAAACACAGGAGTGGATTTTTCTAGACCCATTGCCGCCGACGTGATCAGTGCCAAGCCGCCGAGCTCCTCCTCGAATTGGAAAATTTAACTGAATTTTTTATATAAATTATTTTTCTAAAATTTTTTGAATGTCGGCCGGAGCCGAGCGTGAACCCTGGCACGCAATACTAGCCACTAGGCCATCGCGGCCGTCTAAATGCCTGATTTTTAACTAACACAAAATATGTTTGGTTTGACAGTTGAGTTTGACAGATGTCAAAATACAACCCTGTACTTTTGAAACCACGAAATGGACAACTTTATATTTGACGTTGAATAAGTGACTAAATACGAGTATTTAATTGTATAAAACAATATCCGTATTTCAGTTAAACATTTTACCAACCTCATGTTTTTTATTGTTGTTGTGAACGCAAAAGGTTTACTGAAAACGGTACATAACAACGGTTTGCTGATTATTTCGTGTAGATAGTTAAACGTCAATTGTTTATGCAACAGTTAGTTGCATGCAACTTTTACGTGCATTTACACATAAATATGTGTGTATGTATGTATGTATGTGTGTATGTTGCAACAACGCCAACGGAATTACAGTGCGACATTATATAAGGTAGCATCATTGCACAGATTTCGATTGCAAGTGATTTCATCACCGCGACACTGGTGTCCCTTTTTTGATTTCATTTTAATTATTTATGATTTTTTTCATATTTTTTCATACTTTTCGTGAATTTCAAACCCCATTTCCCCAGTGAAAAGCATTAATTTATTATTTTCATGACATTTTTGGTTTATTTTTTTATTTTATTAATTTTTTTTCTTGCTCACCGCCGAACAGGTTCAACCCCATTTCGTGTTACGTACAATTGAGTGTACGTATGTATGTGTGTATAATATTATATTTATTCATTGTGTATTAAGAAATTGTAACAACTTCAATTATAAACGAATAATGCGACACACAATAAAATTAAATAAAAAGTCTGTATGTAATTCACAACAATAATAAATTTCTATCTTAAGGCCTTAAACGGAGTTTAAACCAATCAGGAATGCAATGGATTTTCATTTAATGTGAATTAAAATTAATTGGCATACCGGAAATGAATGTTACTAGGAGTAAGTTAGCAAATATTGTAGACCAGATTTAGTGTGCTCCACTTACAATATTATAAAACTGTTGGGTTAGGAGAGAAGCCAATTTGTGTCTTCTTTTTGCTATTTGCAAATACCAAGTCTAACCAGGGCGCTCTCCACATGATCCTTCTAGCGGAGCTGAGGCGGTTCCCTTTCTCTGCTTCCAACAGAAAACAAGAATACTTTCTCTATAGTCTGCGGTTTTTTCGTAAATCTTTCCGCAAACCATTTCTATTGTATACCGTTAGTGCCGTCTTGTTAGCACGTACTACAACCATTAAACTAAAAAGGGGAATGCTGTTAGACTTCTAGAGTTTAATTTTTCTGCTTCGAGAGCTGGGAGATACTCTGTATTGCATTTCAATACTGACATTATGATGTTGAAGTTTTCGTTGGTCCCAAGTATGGAAAATCTGTAACTGATAACTATAAGAGCCAATTGTAACCGCCATCTACCACTATCGGTCTCGGGTTCAGCGCTGTCTGGACTGACACTGGTTTTCGGTCACCGATTTTTCGATTGTCTTTCAGGCGCGCTCACTGTTCGTTTAGGCGAAGATGCGTAACGTTGGGTTTACCGTCGAAAAAAGGTAGATCAAATTGTCAGCGACTACAAGTTTATGACTGACAACTTTGGCGTGGGCGACAAGACCCGAGTGCGGTGACTATTTGCTGTAGTGCTGTCGAAGGCAAAAAACAAGTGAGGTAAGGAGTAATTTGGTGATGTATGGACGAGGTCCTTGAATTCCTTAGCCCAACATTTATTGAAAGCTAAAACTCCAAGCATTTATATGATTTCTAAAATCTTGTTTAGGGTCCATTGTGACGCCTAATTTAATGAAGTCAATAACTTGTTCAACACTGTAATTATGTATCATATAGGCAAAGGATTGGAAAGATTTTCTGGAGAAACACATATATTCGCATTGCACCACCGAACTAAATTATTTAGGTCAAATTGCAAAAGCTTTCTATCTTCAATTGAATGAGCGGATTTAAAGAGCTTGACATCATCTGCGTACCGGAGTGTTTTAGAATGAAGAACAACATTTGGCTGGTCATTGTTGAATATAAGGAAGAGTAAGGGACCGAGGTGACTGCCTTGAGGAACACCAGATGTTATGCTATTCCAGGTGATCAACAATTTTTAAAAATTACTTTTTGTTTTCTACAAATCAAGTACAATGAAATCCACTTGGGAAGAGAAGGTGGAAACCCGAAATGATCGAGTTTAAAGTGAAGTAAAGAATGAGAGACCTTGTTAAAAACCTTGTCTGAAGTCAGTGTAGATAACAACTGTGTGATTAACATTTTTGAAATTTTGAAATTCTCTTTTATAAGTATCCATTGAAGCGGTTGTATGTATGTATGTATGGGTTTAAGTTTCCCATATTGATTTTCACTAGTCTACTTAAAGTTATTTGGATTGCTACTACTAGGCGACGTCTTTTTTTTCTCATTCAGTTGTATGTTTTATTTGGCGTTTTTAGTACATTTTAAAAATATTTGCATTTTTTTTTGTTTTCATTATGTTCATTCAACTAATTTTGCTTGGTAAGACAAACTGCAGTCAACTCTTACCTTCATCATCTACTCCGCAAAGTCATTGCACTCTTCTTAGGTTCACCCGCACATAATTTACAAGTTCGTGTTCGGACTCATCTGTTACGGTTTCTGTGATCACTGTTCTTTTGGGTTTTTCAACCGTCAGAATTTTTATTTACTACAATTACATGCATACAAATATACAAATAAACAGTCATGTATGTAAGTGGGTGTACTTGATTTCGATTTTCTCTCCTGGTAGTTTTAGTCATTGGCATTGGCAGCGATGATGGCTCTTGGTGTTGCACATTCATTGGTATCATGACGTGATTTTAATTTACAAGCCACGTTCTCGTTTCATGGCAGCTTTGAGTATACCGCCTCGAATAGAATAGTATAAAATGTGTTTTTTTTTCTTCACTTTAAATAAATACTATAAACTCTGACAGCTGATGTAAAATTTGTTAGGCAGCTAAACAATTCATATTTTAAAAGAACTGTCGATACATGAAGTAGAGGCCAAACAACAACAAGAGAATGCGCTGAAAATAGCACGAACGGCTGGGTAAGATTTATTTAAAGGATTTTGATTGATTTAATTTTTGTTGCTGCTAATAAATATTAGTTGTAGTTGAGTATATTGTAAATAGTATTACAATAGCATTTATATTGTATTTCCGACCGACAGAAATGGCAGCATACAAACTGTAATTTTTTCATATACAGAATTCATTTATTTACTGGATCTGCTTTAATATAAGCCTAACAGTAAGTGTACAAATCTTAAAAACTAAATTACAAACATGATAGCTCGAGTTATTTA